GGGGCTGAATAATTTTGCACGCCCAATTTTTCAGTTTTTTTATTTGTTAAAAAAGTTTGACATATCCAATAAATTTCGTTCCACTTCATGATTGTGTCCCACTTGTTGTTGATTCTTCACAAAAAATTACAGTTTTATATCTTTATGTTTGAAGCCTGAAATGTGGCAAAAGTTCGCAAAGTTCAAGGGGGCCGAATACTTTCGCAAGGCACTGTAGATCATATCTTATGAAACATTCTTTTTCTGGCCAGGTTTCCAGGCTGAATAGTTCTGATGACTCATACTGAGTGAGCTGTTTTTGCAGTGGTTTGAATATGTTGTTGATTAAATGCCAGTGCAGAGACATCCACCCTCACCTTGCAGTGGACTATCAACAGATAAAAATCCAAATCAGACAATTCATGGATGTGAGAGCAAGGAAGCATTACTGTCACTTCATTGTAACATGAGAGAATGATGTTTATCATTTCAGTGAAAGAGAGACAAAAAGATCTGACCAGAGCATGTGATGCATGTGTGCTTTAATTGTTTTGTTATCTTTGTGTATCTTCTACCTGCTAACTAAGCAGAAATAAAATCTTTGTTGAGTCAGTCGTAAAATCACCCTGAAGAGCCAAAAAGAAGATTTCAAATTTGCGTGGTTTCCATTGTGATAAGGCAAAAGAATTTGACCTTTTTAGATACACACACACATTTGCAGTTGAAAGAGACAACCCCACAGTGTCAGGGAACATGAGCTGCACAAATTCTTGAAAAAAGCTTAATTTCAATTAGAAATATAATTATAACATAACATCATGCACTGCTGGTTACTAAACATACAACCACACTGTATGGACACAGCTTCAGTGGGAGAACAATGGTGTCAAATCAAACTGTGCAGCACATGAGTGCCATACATTCAACACATGTGTGCACCTGTTTGTTTTAAGTTTTTAACAGAAATGGTCATATAAAGTTATTCACAGACACTGACAAGTTCTCTGTGACTACTCTGACAGGGCTGATTAAATATGCAACAGAAATCATCACTGGATTTTCACAGGGTCAAAATTATGCATTTGACAAACTTGGAGGGAAACAATGCGGCGTGTAATGGAGTCAGGACTGAATCCATTACACGCCGCAGAAAACAGGTTTATTCTTGTCCATGTCAGTGTAATACAAATAAGGATTTCCACTGTCTTTATTTAATAATGATTTGCAGACTTCCTCCGTCCTTCTCTTTCTCTCTCTCTCTCTCTCTCTCTCTCCCTCTCTCTCACACACACACACACACACACATTTGGTGATAAATGCTTATGAACAAAGCTATGTTCAGAGAGTGTCCAGTGCAACCATTACAAAATATTATATGAGCAGGATTTGCAAAAGGATTTCCCTTTATTTGCTCTCTCTGCCATTTTTAAAAAAATACACATTTTGATCATGTGTTATAAATTGGAAATCAAAGGAGGATTGGAAAATGGTGTTTTAAGAAAGAATTGGGCAACAGCAGCATAAACAGTGAAGATGAAAACAGGCATGACTGCTGTCTAACTTCTGTCAGACTGCTGTAGCAAACCCTATCCGATTATGGCGACGGTCAAACTCTGTGTAGTAGCGTGCAATGAAGTTGGCTCCCAAAATCCAGATGGGGCCTGTAGGGGGCGGCACATCCAGGCCCCTGAATGTGACGGTGCACACATCTCCTTGGATGTGTGATTGCTATGGACACAAAGAATTGCTAGGTTTATTATGTAAAGCCACAGAAACTGTAGCATATTTACAGTGTTGTATGAAGTACTCAGATGCTTTTCAAAGTAAGGATAGTTCTGCATTAAAAATTGTGAAGTACATCATATTATCAGCAAAATATGCTTAAGTTTAAAAAAGTGCACATTATGTCCCCTTTCAGACAGTGCTATTAAGGGAACTACTTTTTTTATTCTGTGTGCATGTGAAACTATTTTGTATGCACAAGTTATTATCTTGTGAAACAAAATCAGAAACCTATTTTTAAGACATCAGAGTCTGAAGGATCAAGTTACAAATATTATTCCTGTTAGTAGCTACGTAGTGAGCTGAAATCCCAGAATGTGCACATCCAAGTTGCACACGTATAACAAGGTGATAACTGAAAACGCTTTTGTGTGTAAAGGGCTTTTGATTTATAATAAGGTATTATATATTTTATAAGATAATCACATGATCTGTTTGCAAAAATAATAATAATATTAAATAACAAAAAGAAAGTAGTATTTGTTATCCTTACCCATAAGATGTAATCCTCCTGAGTGAGTGAGTACTCCTGACCACCTATGTGGAAACTAACACTGGGCAATGTCTTGACACTGTCACAGTTGACTTTGTACTGATGAACAACAGAAAAATGATGATGGGTAATGAGTTTTCAGATATTTTTTGTGGGAACTCAGGCTACATGTGTTAAAACTTACGCCGCTTTCCTCCTGCTGTGCTCCGATGGCTTTCATCAGCGCAGACACAGCCGAGGCTGGACCTGTGACATACGAGGAGCCCGTGTCAATCACAGCCGTGCAGCCCTCTGCACAAAACTTTTTCTCCGTTCCAAGAGAAACACTAAGAAAGAAGAAGTGGAAAATAAAACACATTGTTTCTGAAAGGGTGTGCACACACAGATAGAGGTATGACGCTCTTACCCTTTCATAATAACTTGCCATTTTCCCAGCTCACTGGTGTGAATATAATTAAATGTTCCAGTGTAGTAGTTTGGGTCTGTGCCACCAAGGATCAGCTCTCCACCTGGGTAACGTTTTGGGTCCCTGAACACAATAAATAAATGATGACCTTGTCAACGAACTTGAATGATTACAGACTCTTATAGATAAATTTGAATCCTATGACCTCTCAATTTAACAAGATCCAGTTTCAGCTTTTAGGATGTTCTTGACTTTTTTTGTTTTTTCTTTTTCCACACTCTTTAAATCTACTACTAGTAAGATGAAAAATTAACCCAACAGAACAGTGCCCCCATTTATCAATTTCAATCCTTTGCAATGATATTTTTAAAAAATATACTGTATATCATAGTTGTCTCACTCAAAACAAAATTATTACAGCACAATATATATTTTCTTACTAACATTTTGTTGTCATCATTTTATTAAGCTTAAGTTCTTTTGTATTTTTCTTTTGTACAGGTGATTTTATACAAAATGGCACAGAAGCTTGAGGAGGTGAGTTGACCCAACCCACCTGCTATAATAGACAGAGAATACGTTTTCCTCGAGGACACTCTGAGACATGATGCGGTCGAACACTGGAGTGATGCCATCAATGGCCATGCTGGGGTAACCCATCCCCAGGACTCCATCAAATTTGGCAAAGATGAAGGGAACGGCAGACAGAGAGGTGGCCTCAGCAAACATCTGCACCACCGGAATACCACCAACCTGGAGTAACATGACAAGTAGAAGGCTAAAGGTTGATGGTTTAACATGTAGGGTAAGTCCAAGCATTTATCTAAAACTCTTAACAGGTTGTTAAACTCACCACAACCACATCCTCACTCAGGAATCCCCTGACACTTCCAGATGCGTACTGTATGGAAAATCCAGTTCCATTTTCAACATAAGTCTGGGATTTTGAGGCATCGTACCTGTTGTGAGTAACTAAAAGTTCAAAATTCATTTGTGTTATAAAGCAACCTTGTGTCTGGGAAGTTTTATTTAACATTGAATGATTCTTCCAACATCTCAGTTATTTGACAATAGCATTTAGTTTCTTTATTTAAACATGCAATAGCATTCAATATTTTTTAATGAATTAATTTTCAGCTGTGAACACATATCGTCACCTTTTAAGCTGATATGGTGAATGTGTTATCAACCGCTTGCTTATTTACACACCCAGCAAATATGAAGCAACATTATCACCTGCTGCATAAAAATATTCAGTCTGTTTTTGTTCTTTAACAATTCCTGAAGTAACTGAATAAATAGCTGTCCTGTTTCAAAGTCCTGTGTTTTGCCACCCACCCACAAACCCTGACCCTCTCCTCATGTAGACTTTATTGGTCATTGTACTGCATTACCACTAGTTCCTCCTGTCACACTTGTCCTTGTCAACAAACTGATGCCTAATTATAGCAGGTGTCAGTGATATGCACCTTCTGGTTTGTGGGAAGGTGTAGTTTGCCCCTACTGATTACAATTGATATCAAACATTTAGCAGAGTGATAACAGTGGGGTGACAGTTCCCTGTTGGTTTATCACTACAAGCTGTGTCATTTGATATACTGTTATTAAAAAAATCTTGATTATAACCACTTTATCTAAATGTTATTTTCCTCCTTGTATGTTTGCACATGAACACTTACAGCAGGCAGTGGAGAAAGGTGAGCAGCTTTTTGATGGCACCCACAGGTTGGCTGAGCCTGTGTCAAACACCACATTGAACGTCTGGCCTGGGAAACCAATACTGATTTCCCCAAAGTACTGTGACTATTGGGAATAAATAGAAAAAAATGTTAATGTTTATACATAGACCCAAACCGGATTCTTTATGCAGATGGTGTTTGAATGCTCCTTCCTTTAAGACCACTTTCCCTTGTGAAATAAGGCAAAAATGTAGTTTGAGAGTATGAAATATGGCATTGTGAATATGACTCAAACACCAAGACTATTTTAAAGAACTAATTCAAATTCCACTGGATTGGATCTGCCGTTTTTACTATAGAAGTTGTTTTGGCAATTTCTCTTCAATCAAGTTACCTTTGACTTAATAGATTTTGTCTAGATTTCCTGTCACCCAGAGCCTTGATAAACACATTCACTCTAAGTTTTAGAATTATTTTTTTTATATACAGAACTATAACAGCATCTTACATCCAAGTAGTTGGTTAGAGGTGTGGGCACATTCCCATTGTTGGTAGCATCTGCGATCTCCTTATCCACTTCAGTCAAAACCTGCTCTGCAGAAACACCCATCTCCCGCAGTGTCTCTCTGACAGATGGCATCTTCTTCAGAGAGATTCTGGGAAGACAACAGAGTGTGACAGAAACTAAAAAGAAACAGTGGAAGCAATCAGTTACTAAAGAAAGAAGTATACTTCCCATCTGAAACACATCCCATCATCCCAGTGTAACAGTGAGCCTTTAATAAAGTGCAGACTGCACTGATCACAGTGCTCAGACAGAATATAAGCAAAACCACATGTTATGCCAAAAAGCTGGAAATGTTAGCTTTTATAAAGAACCAATGAAACATTTGTTTTCCTGTCCTTATTTTGTTTTTTACTGTCACACATTTTCTTTTAAGTGAATTTTGCAGTAAATCCTCACTGGCATATTTTGACTCCTTAAGCAAAGCAGCAGGTATACAAAGGAATATGTTTCTTACCTTCTCAAAGCATGGCTCATGGTCACTGTCAATAATAAAGCTGCCACACACATCCAAAAATTCATCAGTAGTGCCATGATCACTTGTCTAATGTGCAAAAAAATGCAGGTCACTGATGATGACTGTGTATGTAAAGCTGGTTTTCCTGGTCTTGTAAATATTCCACATTTATTTCATCTGAGCTTCTAAAAGCTGCCCCCCTCTCTGTGTGTGCTGTCTGGTCCCTCAGCTCTTTTATACCATGTCTTGTACATGGTGCTCTCACCCATGGGCCACTGACTCTGGCTGGGAGCTTTCCTGGGGGTGACCATTAGAAAACAAGTTGTGCTTCCCATCCCTCACCCACCACCTCTACCCTTGTGCCTTGGTCACACAACCCCTGCTGTGATATAGAGGTCTCAGTGACAGATCTGAACTTTGACCTCTTAAAAAATAAAAACAGACAGCAAGGGTGCAGAGCTCCTGAGACTGATGATGCTGGTAGGCTGGACAACCTGTCTGCAGAGCTGTGAGACATTTTAGAGGGAGTGAAAGATGTGTTAAACAGTCAAAGCAGATTCAGTTGATTTTTTTTTTAACTCAATTACAAATCATTGTAAATCTCAGCTTCCAGGCCATGCTCAACAGACATCATCATTTCTTTAATAGATGTTTTTTTAAAGTTAAATTTTATTAAATTGTTATTCTATGATATTTTTAAATAAGAATCAAACATCAATGCAGGTTAAATTTTGATTGCTGTTATTGCCACAGTTGGTAAAATTTAGCTTGCCACTGTTTCACACAGTCATCAGTGAAGCAGACATGTTTCACACCTCTCTTGTTTACCCTCTGCTAGTGATTTTTTCCTCATGCAAAGTTCACTGCAGCATCTGCACCATTTTACACATCTGCAAGTTTAGTTCGATTGTGAGTGTTGGCAGGAGCCATGCAGGGCCCATGTTGGGTCCATTATGCAGTGCAGGAGATTTGGCAGGGTGCTATGTTTTTGTATTGTATTTCTTACCACAATGGTCAGACTCAACAAGACTAGAAACTCATTTAGTTTTCATGGGTTTTCACTAGAAGGAGGATTCCCACAGTTTCTGGGCTGTCAGGTTGGTACTGTGCCAACCATCAAGCTGAGCCATGAAAGGGGAGTCTATGTTAGAAACGAGCTTGGTTAACTGCAGCAGAAGTCAACTACTCAGATACTCCCTGTGGGCACAGGTTCCAGAAAATCATGGCATAGACACAGTGATGACATATAATAATACTCTACTGCAACAATATAATTAATACTTTTAATAATTTATTATTGTTATTTGTGTGTGTGCAATGTTCTTTATGTAAAGAAAAATAAGTGACCTTTGTTTGCACTTTAAAAAAAAGTACTTTATTTTAAAGTGAGTTTTTTTATTCATAAAATGTATCAAAAAACAGTGTGAAAACAACCCAGTTTCCTGGAAAGTGCTGTTGTTGTGTTTTTTCCCACTTGCAGTTTGTGGTAATGTTTCAGGAACCAAAGCAATTTTGTTAAGGTTGTGGAAAGATTGTGGTTTTTGGTTAAACTTGAATTAAACATGTTGCATTTCAATTCACCATGCATTAAACTAGAACATGATATTTCCCTAACCCTTAACCAAATGCTATCATCACTAGAAGGCAATACTGCAAGATGGGATATTTTGATAGAAAACAAATGTGTTGTACATGAACTGATAAGTTTGGTATCAACATATTGGTGACTTGACAAATAGAATTTAGCAGCTTAAGAGACTATTAAAACTGGACTTACTGTATGTTCATCAGGTGGGAGGAAGCACAACGCCAAGGTTTTTGTCAGTATAAACATCCACTGGCTCATTACATAGTCATTTCTTCCAATATCAGTAAAAAAGAAAAAACATTACTGTAGTTTTCATAATACATATTTATTACCCGACCAGTAGACCTCTACAGTTAGGCCTTATAGGCTTCTGGGGACAGTCTCAGACATTTGACTCTTGACCTGCCTGGTTAAATGGACACCCACAAGTTTCTTTCCCACACTGCCTAGAGAGAGCCATGCATCACTCCTGCCTGGCCTCCCACCTCTCCAGAAGGTCCAGTCCACTGGTGGGCATGGGAAATGGGAACTGCCTCCTGGAAGATGATTTGTTGAACTTCATGTTTTTAGTCTCATTTATATTCTGTTGAATGCCTGCACGTCAAGTTATTGGTTGTCCTCTTCAGCAATTACAAAACTTTTTGTTCATGAAAACAGAGTAAAACAAAACAAAAATGTTTATGAAAGATGAGGCTGTTGTAAATAGTTGAACAGATTGAACCTCAAACAAATTGTCATTGATAGGCACATACCAGAGCCAGCATTCGTGTAAGAGGCTCTTGTATGGTTGGGCTCACTCTGAAGAAGAGCCATGGTTGTTCACACAAAATGAGACTCAAGGGAAGTCATCACTCAAACAAACAAGCCTGATTCCCAAACACACACAAGCCCAATCTTAACTCTTGCTTATCTTGTACAAGCCTAAAACACACAACAGGAAGATGGTTTCGGTTTATTTCTAAGCAGTTGTTTCATACAGATACAGTAAGTGTACAAAAAATAGAGAACAATAGCTGGTTTCACTGATTTTGTGCTAATTTTTGTTTTTGTATTTGAAGCTGGTGAGCTCCATACCCGAAGCTATGAGACTGTGCTCCCATCTGGAGACAATATGTATGAAACTATGTGAGACAGGCTTCAGAACAGGAGAACAACATGTAGAATCTGGGACTAAAAGGGCACATAAAATATATTTTATATGCTACAGTATAATATCTATCCTCAAGAGCGCTGTGAGTTTTAGGATTTTTTTGTCTGATTTGTCATGATAAATTATGACAGTATTTTCATTTTTCTCACAGTTGGGTCGCTTTGGACCTTTTTGTGAAAAACAAGCATGTTGTGTTTCTACTGGCCAGCAGGGGGCAGCATTAGACTTAAAACAAGACAAACTGGAGAACAAACATGGCTGAACGAGTCAGTATGTACCCCAGTCACATGCAACTTTAAAGAAAACATTACTCTGTATGTGTGCATCTTCTCTGCATCTTGCAGTTCTTTGCAGGCTGAAATGCCATCTGCACTACAATCTAAAGTGATAAAAAACCAAGTGGCAGGACCTTCTAAAGAAAATCACCCTGACAGATTTTTAGAGGGACATATGTTTTTAGTTTTTATACTTACAGCATGCACCATATTGTCTGTATAAATTCTTCTGTGCCTTTGTTAACAAATCAGTGACATGTTCCTTCATTATGATGCTACGTATAAATACATATATGAGCAATACATAAAAATATATGGTTTGTGCTCTGTGAAGGTGTGACGATGCATTTTGATTCCCAGGGAGCTCTATTAGCAAATATCTGGTGAACACATGAGAAACCATGGCAACTGTGCTTGTTGTGTTGTTGTTTGTGATGCAACAAAATGTGCCAATCCATCACCTGGACCAATGAATATTTAATTACAATAGCCTCACAATCACCCAGTAATGTACATGTGTATTGCCTAATTACTACTACAGCAAGCAGCTCTGATTTGTACCTGCTCACCTCATACATCTCATTGACAAGATCCTTTATTTGCTACTCATTTATAAAGTTTGCTGCTTGGGTTTCTTCAAACTGGGCACTCTACAAATGCACCCGCGGTAATAATACATTGTTTTAAACAGATGATTTGTGTTGAAATGGCATTTTATTTTAACTGAGAAAAACACAATCTTAATTTGAATGTGTCATAGACGACCAGCACATGATGGCTTGTGTATATGTGTGTGTTCTTGTTTTTATGCATCTGTGGGGCCTGAAATCCAAGAGTTACTATCTTTGTGGGGACCGGCAGCCTACTTGTGGGAACCGGAGGCTGGGCCCCACAAGTAGCTGGTCAAATTTTATGAAAATGACAGGATGTAGGACTAGAGCAAGTGTCAGCTTTGTTTAAGCTTAGAGTAAGGGTTAAGTCTCTTAGAAATAAATTTAAGTGCATGTACAGACCCTGTAAGTGACGACCACAAGTCTCTCTGTGTGTGTGCATCTTTATGGGTCTGTGCACAGCATCACAAGATGAAGATACAAACTGCAGCCAGCTGATATAAAAGTGGACCCAGCAGTGGAGCCAACACCATCCAGTAAATGAGACAGTGGAGATACAGTACAAAGCTTCCTAAAGCAAACTGTTTTATACTTCAAACTCTCACTAATATCAAATACAAGGCCCATCAGGCTGCAGTCAGCCAGTCAGCCATATTCCATGACCTTTACTGTAGAGAAATCCAGAAATTAAAAGCTTATTGCTTTGTTTAAATGGAGGACTTCTGTCAACTATGTGCAGTACCTAACATAAACATTTCACCATTTCATCACTCACAATTCCCTTGGCTTTAACTATTTGAACAACAGCTCCTGCACACCACAGAGTATTAATGACAGGTTTGTAGTTTAAACTTTGAGTAAAAGTATCAGAAAGAAACAGAAACTTCTGGAATAAAACCTCATTAATAAAGTGAGGTATCTTATGTATGTGTGGTAGTGAGCAACAAAGGCAAGATAACTCTCTTACAAGTTATTGTGGTTACTTCCATCACATGACAGCATTGTGTGCACAGGATATCCTCATTTCAAAAAGGCATCCTTTTCTAATTGCTTAGTTCTGTGACTTCCTGGACAACAAGCTTCCACATCCTCACACCCACCAAACATCCTGTGCGTTGTGTTCACAATAATGGGATGACTCACTTCTGAAGGCAGATAATGAAAATCTCTCATTGTATCAGTTCTATTGTTGTAATCTCTGTTGTCTTTGAAAGTGATTCAAATCTCATACTGGTTTTAAACAAGCTTAAATATGTCAAGGAGAAACACTGTAGACAAAAATAAGTTCTTCTTCAGAATTGCCCTTTACTCAAAATCCTCAGAATCCAGAAATGATTCATACCAGCCCAGAGCTTTGCATCTTTATGTGCTTTTCATAAAACACACACTGAGTGACAGTAACTTTGCTTTTAAGCAGGTTGTCTGAGTATGATCATTTGTTTCTCTCTTCTTGGCCATTTTGTTGATGCAGTTTTACTTTCAATGACATATTCGACATTTTTTTCTGTGTGCCAAATACCATTTTGTTTTTGTTTGGTTTTCTTAACCTCAAAAAGGGTCAGTTACCAGTAGATGTAGAAAAAGACCAATGACATTGTTATGATAAGTACAAGGTTTAAATCAGCATATAAAAACATTTATTATATTAAAACTGGAAATATTTGACATAAATAATATTGAGCACAAATCATAAAAAGCATCACTGTGAAGGTTAAACAATTGAAAGCAAATACAAAAACAGCTCTGTCTTCCAGATGAAAAGAACCAGGCTCTCGAGACAAATGAATTTACCAAATATAGTATTATAAATGATTTATAGTTTACTTTACATAAATTTTCCATCACTTGGTTGGTTTAAATATCTTATGTTATAAAATCCTACAAAAGGTAATTGCACATTATAGCTGCACTTCCACTGTCAGAAACTAATGAGCTGTACACCCTGTGCTTGCTTAACCTCACAGGTTGATACGAACCGTCCTGCTTCGCTTTTCCAGTTTCTTTTCTTTTTTTTTTTTTGCTGTATCAGTCTCTGTTTAGAGGAGACAGGGGCTGAGGTCCTCTCACACATACACTCATAGCTGAGCAAAGCAGGTGGAGGATCACTTTATAGTGCAGCAATCAGCCAGTAATGGAGGCTGTAAGGGCAATTTATGAAACAGCTGTTGAACAAGCAAGTCCACTCACTGAAGTCCCTGTTTTATCCCTAAAGTGAATATCTGTCATGTCTGCTTTTCTTGAATAACTTTCAAACTAATAATGATATTAGTGTCATTTCAAGGTTTTCATGGTCATCCAATCATACCATGAGAGTCAAACTATCGTGGGAATATTTCTTTTACAGCATTACAGGGAAACCAAAGGTGCGTCCATTCATTGTTTATAGAAAATAATTATTATAGTAGCTTTAAATACAAATACATCAAAACAGTACTCATGTATTGTTCTTGACTAAGTGCACTCAGTTTACTTCTATCACTGTGCACACGAGCATAATGAATACAATAACTGATGTTATCACAACAAACAGCATCCTAAGAAACACTATGGATTTGACATGAATAACCAAGTTTATTATCTTATGAATTCTTATTGCTTTGCTTTCCATATTAAAGTTACATTAACAGGGCTCTGCACCCTCCACAGTGTTCTCTGTGCCTGAATTATTCAGTGTTGCTCACTGTTTGCTCTTGTTGTGCACTGCATGGTTAAGAACCAGTGAAGAGGAAGGCTCAGTGGATGAGGACGAGGCTTGTTTTTTACACCCGCAGCCAAGCGTGTGTCTTATGTAAGAAATGGGGTTGGATGGCCAGAGGACAACATCCACTGCAGGAAACCTCCTGCTGCTTTGGTATGATGTGTCTGTCCCATTCCCACTCTCACATTCTCATCAATCCTCTAAATTTTAATGAGTGATCAAAAAGCATACATTTTGACAGGGCAGTCATAATTACCGTTTTAGATTTCTTAATGAATGCTTTATTTTAGGAACTGTTTCAATTTTGCAATTTTACCACATTATCGCTTTACATGAGCAAAGATACATACATACTCATTATAATAACTGTAACTCACTAAATTTAGTAGCAGAGTTTTCTAAAAGAGATTATTTGAACCTTTATAGTGAGTTTCAGCTAATAGTTTAGCAGTCTGGCCGACAACTTTACTGTGTTAGGTCATAGTGATGCTTTCGACCACAGCAGGGGGCTGTATTCGGTGAAACACACATAGTAAACCCTTACAACCTTTATTATTAAAGTCAGTGATACTTCATTCAATGAAACACCTTGAAACCACCAGTTTCTTTGTAGTCACAGGTGAGAGGACTGGTGCAGTGTTTTTGTTCAGTGATCATCATGACAGATCGATGCAATGTTTGACTTGCTGGTTAATATTAAATCACAGTGCATTGATTTTGGACTCACTGCGTTCCTGAGGTTTCACAGCCGATACCTAAACAACATCTATGTTGCACAACATCGGAGGCTTTGCAGGGCAGTACACCTTAACTGCAGCAGCTAGCACTTCTAATAGCAACAATAGTCTATAAAGTTGGAAGTTCTTTTCAAACACACTGTGATTAACCTCAGCTACACTTCCTGCAGGCGTACCTTTCTGCTGCTTGTATAATTTTCCATGCAGTTACAAAACAAGAATAGAAGAGGTCACTACTTCCTGAATGAGAGGTTGTATGCGCCCTTGCTCTCAAACTGGCTGGACATGGGACATAGCCTTATGTTTCCATGTGCCAAAGCGACTTTCTATATGGCAAACAGGAGAGGTATAAAGTGACATAGTGGAGTCAACATACACACTCCCAGCACTCAACATAGATGAAACGGGATGGAAATCTGTCCTTCATGCACAGCCATCCAGGCTACTGCCCTCACAGCTGTGGTTGAGTGTCATTTACTGTACTTTATCTGTACAGGCAGGCAGGAGAAAAACACAGCCCTCCCCTGTGGAGGTGCACATTTCTCATGTGATCCCTCCTCACTTGTTCAGAAACAACAACAAAAAACATGACAGTTTTGTTTTTGATTGCAGGACAACACACTTACAAGCTCCAGGAATTGCATGCACAAACAATAACTACCACAAAATTATCGCTGAGATGTCAAACAGACTAAATAACAAGCACATTGAAAATTATATATCTCTACAGTAAGTGAGGAGATTTGGGAGAGAGAGAGAGAGTAACTCTTTGTGGGAGTGAGGTTGCTATATCCAAGAATTAAACTAACTCAAAGTAGGTGTAGGATATGGGTAGGCAGCTGTGTGGACCCCAGAGATCTACGGACTGGAGAAATGTGACCTCAATCACTTTTATAGGTCACATCAATGTAAAAAAATGCAAGTTAATTGGCAGTAAGTACGAATCTGTTTGTGGCTCTTTCTTCAGTTGCCTGCTGTTTGGAGTTGAACAACCTCAATAACATTGTGTTTCCATTATTTATGAATAATGGGGGCGGGGGGGTATTAGAGGAAGAAACCTCTGTCAGCCGTTTTGAAACACTTGTGGGCCGGCGGGCGGGGAGGAGCTTTAGGATCCAGTAGGTGTGGGGTCGAGTACAAGTTTCCCTTGTGAAGGAGCAGCTGGGCGCATGCGCCCCTTCCACTAGTTATCCATCTACCAATGCAGGAGCAAATAGGATGAACTTGTCGTGTTACCTGCTTAAAGGCGCCGCCGGTTGTGTGCACAGACCAGTCGTAAAGCTAATTGTTTGTCCTTCCTGGGAAATTAAAAAAGGAGAAATACTCGACAGAAAGGAATTTTTGAATGTAAACTGAGCAGTCAGAGAGCAGATCAGATCCCATAGCGAGGAATCAGAGTGCGTGTAGTTGTAAAAGACCTGGAAACAACAAGAGAAGCGTCAACAGCCTGGATTTTTTACCCATCGTGATATTTACATGCACTGAGAGCAGCATGCCTTGGCTTAGGAGAAGGGTGAAAATGTTTCAGTTTGGAGAGGCACCCAGGACACCCTGAGGTTTTCTGTCTGTTGAGAGTCCTTGTATCATGCATCGGCTGATTGTTATCCTACACTATTCCGCGGAACTAACGGGCTTGGCTCGGACCTGAGTCATCATGTCAAAAGTTATTCAGAAGAAGAATCACTGGATTACCAAAGTGAACGAGTGCGCGGTTATCCGGGACGCGCGTGGGGAACTGCATGTGGAGCTGTGTGGCGGAGCGGAGAATGGAGAGTTTCCCTACATTGGGCAAGTTAGAGAGGATGCTGTGGTTTACCAGGACGGTAAACTCTGCGAAGGGGAGCTTCTCCTGGAAGTTGATGGGATGTCTGTGCCTGGATTACCGCTCTATGACATTTTAACTGTGATTAAGTGCTGCAAAGAACCCGTCAAGTTGAAAACTGTGCGTCAAGGTAAGATAAATATGAACTGTGGCTGTGTTTGTGTGTAACAGAGAGATAGAAATGCTGTGTGGGAGATTAACTCACACACACATGCTTATATCTTTGTGAGGACACTCATTGACATAATGCATTCCCTAGCCCCTTATCCCATCCTTGACCATCAGAACTACATGGCTAACCACAACCTTTACCCTAAGCCTAGTTCTAACCTGAACCCTCAAAAAGGTGTTCCACAAAGTGAGGACTGGCCAAAATGTCCTCACCCTGTAGCAAAAAAAACCCCAAACTTTTTGGTCTTCATTATGTAGCATGTACAAGAAGACACACAAGGGAGTTCCCAGTGGAAGTTGTTTTATAAATGCCATTTGGCACAGCATTATAAACACACAACAAAATGGTGATTTGTGTGAAGTAGGGCAAAGGAGTAGTGCTGCTGCTGCTGCTCATCAGCCTGGAGTTTTCAGAAGCTTTGCCATGAAGCTACTCTGACAGTCCTCCTACCCTCGTTTTGTCTAAAGTTTCTAAAGTCACTCTTCGGTCACAGATCAGGCCACTAACAGTGGCTGCAAAGCCAGAGCTTTATCTCTATCCCTAACACTTCCACCACAGACTATGTGCTGTACTTTACTCTTTTGACATATGAATGAAGCAAAATTGCAAACTTATGATTAGCTCTGAACTTTTTTTTCCCTCAAGAGTCTCTGGTGCATTGTACATGGCCTTTGTTGTTCTTCATCCAGGCCCAATCTGGATGTCCTGTAACTGCCTGAGGGAATATTAAAATAAGTCACTGTCAATTTTTTAACTCAGAGAAAGTTATATATTTCACCTCAAATGACTGTTTTAACACTCCTTCCCATGCACACACACTCACACATTTGACAGAGCACACAGTGCCTTCTGTCTGGGGAAATTATTAACAGTGTTATATAACTGTGCTTTAGTTTCAGGGTAACATCATTGCCTTTGCGATGTACTTTCTGTTAGTGACTTCACAGTGACCTCTGAAGCAGATGTTTTGACCCCTGAGAAAAGAGGTCAGCTCTGTGTTTGCAGAACAGGTGTTCAGACCTGACTTGCACCATTTGAGATGTTTAACAGTTTTGTAGTTATTTTAAACTACACTTTTACATTTAAGCACTGCTGCCACACTGACTGTATACGTAAAGGATATTCTGAGCCGCTTTCATGGCTTTGTCATTAGTTTATTGCATGAGATAGCAGATTTCCCTAGTCTGTCGGGCTCCAGTGCAGATCTGGGCAGGGGCTGTGATCCAAGCTGTCCTAGTCCAGACAAGCAGCTGGCAGGACGAATCACATCGCTCTCCTTTCCTCTCTAAAGAGCTGTGGGTCACATCACCTCAGTGCTGAAACCCTATCAGTGTGTGCAGGTAGGCAGGTCCGCGCTGGGTCATAGTACAGTGCCTACAGGTGTGTGGCTTCCTCTGAGGAATTCTGAAAGAAAAACCAGCTGAATGAAGTCTGAACATTCCTGTGCAGAGGGTGGAATATTACACTGCTGTGGTTTTAACTGTGGATTTTATTAATCTCTGTAAATAACACTTCAAATTGCAAAGGAATGAAAGAGATTTGAGAGAGCCTGTCATCTACACAATAAATGTACTGTATAATCATTCACTCAAACGTTTTTATGCGTATGTGTTTGTTCTTTAATCCATAGGCCTGGTGCAGAATATGTAAGTCACTGGATAGTTAACTTTTTTCTTGGGGTTTCAGAGTCTGATGCTCTATATGCCCCTGTCACCACCCACCTTCATTTGGGGATTTTAACAAAAGGTGTAATGTTTCCATGTAGTCAGTGAGTTAAGCGTAGGGCAGCCACATTTTTTTGTCTGTACGTTTTGAAAAGCTGGCACCATTAAAAGTATGCTGATTTAGCTATTAGCAGTTGTTGTTTGCAATATAAACCATGGATGTACAGATGACTATGAACAGATTACTGTGATACTAAAGAAAACTTTGAATCTCGATAATTCTCAGGCAAGTTTTGAAGTTATTAGAAGTGTTTTTTTATAGATAATAAAACCATTGGAAGACCATGCTCAATCTAAATATGTGTATCATGTCTGTATTGAGGTTTGACTCTAAGAAGGACTAGCCTGTAAATTTTATTTATATTGGGCAGTAAAGTTTTAAAGTACCTTAATTGCCTACAGGAGGTACAGTATTATAGTATGCGCCACAACCAGTGCTGCAGCTTCAACTGCTAAATAAACATGTTGATAAAGGAGCCTGATCTTTAAGCTGAATTATAACAACAGACTTCCTGTTGTTTTTAGAACAATGAGATGCAGCTGTGTCCTGTCCCCCACACCCCCATGCCCTACCACTCTCCACTGCCCACTGAGCACTGAGTCCAGTTTGAAAACACACATCACATACAATATACACGCAGTGACTGTGCGACATATTTGCTTGTCTCCCAACAATGGGCTGTGGCTGCTCAATACTGTAATACAAACTATTCCTTGTTTACAGACGCAGGTGAGCGATTTATGGCATGGCCTAATTTTGAGGTTAAAGTACAAAGAGGGTGTACTCTCAGATCTATTAAGACTTTGACCCACCAGTGTAGCTTGTATCTGTTATCATCAGTTGAGACCATCTCTCAGGTGAAAGGTTTTGTCACCATTGTCTTGTCCTGACTTCGGTGAGTATCCGATAAGCGTGGTATGCCTGTAAAAGGTTGTGCATTAAGTCATATAATGTTATTAGATTAACAGCGGTTGTTTCTAAAGCAGTATATGTTTTTGAGGCTGAAATATTTTATACACGGTTTATACAAAATCAAGAAACACATGTGAATAACACTGTTGTAGTACAACTAGGACATTGTTCTTGCTGCTTGACCTTTAAAGTGTACTACAAATTCTTCCAGGGCCTAAAGGGTCTGGGGGTTTATGGTGTCCTAGGCTTTGGGTGGGTTCGGTTGGATGTGTGTTTCATCTCTGGGACAAATGACCCCTGATGATCTCACTTTCACTTGAATCCAACCAGAGGGAGTCAGGGCAGCTTGCTGGATGCCCGACATGCCTGAGATGTGAGTCTGGGAGTTCACTTGGTGCACCCTGATGAAGGAAACAGACTTTCATGCCTAATACAAATTTTTTCACCCCTCTCTCAGATCTGTTCTTGCTCTCTCACCCTGCTCTCACTCCCTGGAGACAGGGTGGTGTAGTGACTAGGGGGACCATCTGTTTGATCATTCAAAAGTTCAGGATTGTAAGCATGTGTCCTGCTGCACTGTTCTTGAGCCAAATTCAGTGTCTTGCTAAGTTCAGAGTTTACTAATAATGGCTGAAACACCATTTAATATCCAGTACTAATAAAAATCCATGGCATGTTGTAATGGTGCGTTAACTGTAGCCCAAATTTGACCGCGAATAGCAGTGAATGCTCATGCTAACCAGGTAAACAAAAGAGTCTTCGTCCTGTGGGCGTCCATGTCCCTGATCATCCCCCGTTTGGTGAAAATAGCATAGAAGGTCACACTCAGCATCGCTTAGAAATTAAAAGCTCATGCATAGTTCATGCACAGTAATAAGGTCTGAAGAGACTCGTGTGAAATCGTACAGAAGAGAAGCTACTCAGTTGAGTTTGTGGCAAAAACATTTTTCAGTGCTTGCATATTGCTGTCTTCTACTGCATATGATAATTCCTACTCAGAAAGTAGAACTGAAGTGACATTCACTACAAGATGATTAGTTTAAACATTTCAAAATGCACCTGTATTGCTTTGTCTTTTGTGACTTTTAGCCAAATAAAGGACTTAAAAAAAAAAAACTTAAAATATCATCTTGTCTTGTTCTCGTGAATATTGAGTATTGTGTATCACTTTGTTTCCTGAGCTAAGTGTATTGTCACATCCTTAGACAGTACATCCAGTAATGTATAGCATGTGGTCGGAGTTTTCTGACAATAGGGGCGGCGAACGTGAGTGTGTTTGGCTCATGTAATTGCTATTCGGGGAATACTAAGAAACAATTCTGAGTGAGCTGAGCAACTCACAAAGATGCGTGAGAGACATGTGCCGACACCTAGGCCTACTATGCGTAACATTGTCCTCGTATGTCATATCTTTTGTGTGCCTCTCTGTTAATGCAACTGCAAGCAGTTTAAACTTGTGCTGTGTTGAAAGTGTTACTAGTTCTTACCTGAGATTGCTGTCATGACATTTACAGAAAAGTGACCAGTGTGCTCATTTAGATGTGAACCAGACATGCCTAGGTGCTGCCAGACTAATTGAATATTATTATTAATAATAATAAATTTTGACCCTGTAAGTGCAAAGATGTAAGATTTTTGTGCTTCTTAAAATGGGCATGGACTGTGTTATGTAAGGATGTAAAGACTGCATTACAGTTTGCCACTGAAATTGTCTCTAAGGCTTTTATGCACAGTTAAGAAGGCTTACACACATCCAGAGGGTCATCTCTTCAGTGATGTACTTGTCCCAGAATGCAAGTGCCTTAGATTTTCTTCAGTATGAGGACTTTGCCAGTCTTGATTAAGTGCATCCGACTGCATAAGTATATCCCCGAAAGGCTTGTCATAGGCTTGTGGCATGAATCCCTCTGTGTCTCTCCTCCTCTTCTCTATACCCTCTGCTTTATTCTTTTCCTCTCTCAACCACCATTCCTTAATGAGCAGTGAGTTTTAGTCAGCAGTGAGGCCTCTTGGAGGTTTTATATCTAACATTTTAATACACTCCTCTTATTCTGTGCTCAAACTGTGTCGCAATGTTTGTATTGGCACAGTTTGAGAGTATAAGAAACTGGTATGCACATCTTCAAAAGAGCTGTCTAAGTATTTGCATATATTTTTAAAGGTTTATATGATGAAATTTTATGTTGGTCTTTATGACATGACATCCTAGTGTTGCTAAGAAGCCGTACCACCACATACAGTCATGCAGCTTTTGTCATTTAAGCTTGAACAAACAGCTGCGTAATTCAGAGACATGCACCTCAGGTGTTGTAACAATGAGG